ACTGGTCCTGGGCAACCTGTTTGGAGTTAAAAAGTCATCCACAGTTTGTGGCTGCCTCTGCTAGGCATGGGTGTGCATGGGAAGGACCAAACTGCAGCAAGACTGCTTTTACTAGCACCAGGCACAGGGACAGGTCAGCTAAAGTCCCAAGGCACCCCATGATCCGCCTCTGCCTACCTTTTCCCGCCAGCTGCCTGTTTGTCTCAGTCACTGAAAGAGCCTCTGGCAGTACTCAAGTTGCATGAAGTAGTTCTCAGTGAGTCACCGTGTGGGGTTGAGTGATGTTCACCAGTTTGATACAGCTTCAAACTCGGTACCAGTTCTGGCTTTGAGGCCACTGAGCAAATGTTCCAGGGTATACCAAGTCTTGTTGCCTCCTGCTTAGTGTTGGGGCAGTGTCTCAGGGAGTCATCAGAGTGAGGCTAGCAGAGTTTATCAGGCCCACACAGAACAAGATTTGGCTGTGTAAAGGGAAAGCTCTGTACTGGTCCTGAGTGCAAGGGAAAAATGGCCTCTGTCCTATAGACACACAACTCAGTTTGTCCCAGATTCTATCAGGATCCTGATCTCAGCAGGGAGGGTTGCCAGGAGTCAGGAGGATGGGGCTCGTGGATCTCCTGTGAGGTTGGTGCTGGTCAGCTTTGGGGCAGTGGGGGATAGTACCTCTCGCCCCAGAGCCACACAATTCAGTGTATCCTGGATTCTGCCCAGACCTTGGCAGGGCAGACCAACCAGGAGTCCAGGGGGTGGGGTTGCCAGGACCCTGGAAAAGGGGGCTAGTGGATATCTAGTGAAGGGGAGGCATCAGTCAGGTTCGCAGGAAAGTGGGAGGAATGGCCCTAATCCCAAAGTCATACTCCTTACTCAGTGACACTTCCCAGACCTCTACACCCCAGCCCAGGCAGCTGACACCTCACACCTCTGCAGGGCACAAGCTCTGCAGGGTGGAGCAACAGAGCATCTAGAGTATGAGGCTATTGAATTCCCCCAGGCTGGTATCATAAGTAGGAGAATGCACCACCCAAGAAAGATGGTATCTGCAGTGTGAGAGAATAACTCAGCACTGAGATCCTGGCAGCTGTCCCTTCACCTCTCTTCCCTAGAATGACAAATCACAGTCTCTTCTTATGCAACTCTATTCTGGTTTTCCCTCACTCCGACAGAGCCCAGGGCGAGTGGTTGCGAATGTGATTTTGTGCATTGGCCTTTTAAGAGGGCTCCTGTTCCTCTTAACAGACTCCTCTCTCTCCCTGGTGGACAGAATCCCTGCAGATTTTCACAGTCAGATGTTTATATGGGTTCCTCTTCCTGGCTCTGGCGCTCTGGGCTCTGGGCTGGGGAGCTTGGCTTGAGGTTGAGAGCCCACTCTACTCAGGGGGACCTTTTGCAGCTAAGATAATTATGCAGAATATCCCTCCAGAATCTCAGCCGCCGCCCATGGGAGTGGGGCCAGTCCTTTTCTCCTGTCTGCCCTTTCTACCATTTTTGATGTGGCTGCTTCTGTAAATCCTTGGTTGTAAGACTTCTTTTCAGCTAGTCTTCAGTTGGTTATTCAGGTTAATTTCTCTATATTTTAGTCCTAATTCCTGTTTGGTCCTGGGAGCAGATGAGTGTATCTTCTACCTACTTGCTGCCATCTTGGATCTACCATCTTGCTAATGTTTGTATTTAAATATAATGGGTAAAGTACTGAATATTTGCATAAAGTAATATTAGTTAAAAATTTATGCTACATTAAGTAGATTTATATAATTCCTCTACTTTGGTAGATTACCATCATAGAAATATATGTTTTTGTGGTTTTTGAGTTGTTAAGGGTCAATTTGTGCATATTTGTGTGTGTTTGTGTTTGTTTAAACAAAAAAGTTGCCATATCTGCTTCAACCTCATTTTTTGGTATTTTTCCCCTCTGTAGATTTTTTAGAAACAGAATTAATATGTAGAAGATTATGCTGGCTCTTCCCTTTTGCTCTTAACTATTTCTTATAAGCAATATGAAATCAGCTATTACTTACCAGGCAAAGTTTCAGGATGTTGTTTGTACACACATACATTCACCAGTCTGTTCTTTGCATTGCCTAAGTTTACCTTTGTTTTCTAGACTTGAGTTGTCTTGCAAGTAATATATATACATATATTTTTGTCCTTTAGCTTATCCTTTTTTATTTCTTTGCTTTTTCACTCTGCAGCATTTTGCCATTCTTATTAGAACCATTTATAGCTTTATTTTTTCTACATAGATCTTTTAGAAGAACTGTTTGGCTATCTTATTAAATTTTTCTGTCCTGTCTCATTTCCTGTATAAAGTGTATAACATTTCTGTTTGTTTGTTTCTATGAGATTTAAAAATACTTACTAAAAATGTGTCTTATCATCTTGTTTGAAGTAGTCACTTAAAAATAAAATTTTTTAACTTGATGGTTGCCAGAGGGGAGGGGGACTGGGTGAAAAAGGTGAAGGGGTTAAGAAGTACAAATTGGTAGTTACGAAATAGGGCAGTGTAAAGTGCAGCATAGGGAATATAGTTAATAATATTGTAATAACTATGTATGGTGCCAGGTGGGTACTGGAAATATCAGGGATGGATTACTTTGTAGAGTATATGATTGTCTAGAACTGTGGTGTACTCCTAAAACTAATGCAAAATAACATCAAATGTAAACTGTAATTGAAAAATAAAATTAAAGAAACATATTTCTAAAAAGAGGAATTGTTAACTTTATTTGTATGAGTGCAAGTGATTAAGTCTTTATTTTTATTTATTTATTTTTGCCAATCCTCATCCGAGGATATTTTTTCCATTAATTTTGAGAGAGAGTGGCAGGGAGGGGAGAGGGAGAGAGAGAAACATTGATGTGAGAGAGACACATCAATTGGTTGGCTCCCACACTCGCACTGACCCGGGCTGGGAATTGAAGCTACAACCCAGGTATGTGCCCTTGATGGGGAATCAAACCCGAGACCCTTCAGTGCAAAGGCTGATGCTCTAACCACTGAGCCACACAGGCCAGGGCTGATTAAGTCTTTAGATTACAGTTTTTTCCTTAATTGTATAAGTTGATACCTATTCCTGATATAGCATAGTTTTTAAAAAATGTTATTGTTAGAGTACATGAAAAGAGAATTACAGCTATATTACAAACAGATTACAGTTTGCAGATTTGACTATTTTACACATAAATTTCCCTCTTGAACAACCAAGTTTCGAGTAATTTAAGTTGGAAGATTAACTTAAATCTTTGGCTTTAGCTTTTTACATATTGACTACCTAAGCTCATAGGTAAAAAGTGATAACAATTATAGTAGGAAAGACTCAAGGTACAGTAAATAATTTAATTTCTTTGTGCCATTTAAATATGAGAATTTCTTAAGTTTCCTATGTATGGTAGCCTATAAAGAAAAAAAGGCTTTTATATGTCCACTCTCTAGATTAAGTCATTGAGGCCTAGGGAGTTTATAAGACTTGTGAACCAGAATATAATAAATTATTAAAAATTTAACAAGTATGTTTTCCCTAAAATCTCTCACTCTTCTGTCAGTCTTATTGATTGACTTAGCCTATGTATTTTGGTGTAATTTTTATTTAATAACAAGGTTATGTAAACTCATAGTTCTAATTTTGTAACAGGACGTTAAACTTCCTAATAACATGGGCTGTTTTAAAAGTAAATAGAGAAAGGGAGATTAATTGATCGGTTGCCTCCCATATGCACCCATACTAGGGATTGAACCTGCAACCTAGGTATGTGCTCTGACCAGGAAATCAAACCCGCAACCTTTTGGTGTACATGACAATATTCCAACCAACTGAGCCACCTGGCCAGAGCAGAAAACTCTTAATACTTAAAATAGTCCTAATAGACTTACTATACTGCTTTTTTTAAAATACTGTATTCCTCTAGTTTGCTATAAAATAATTTTTTTCCAGGCACAAGTGTTTACTTAAGTAACAGTTTGTTATACTCAGCTAAAATAGCTGATGTGTTGTGTTTAGCCAGATACATAGCAATGTATATTTTCCTTCTACATGCTTGTCGCTGCTTTTATCTTACCATAAAAAAAAAATCGCCTCTATAAAAATTCTTTTTTTAAAAAAAATTATATCTTTATTGATTTTAAAGGGAGGAAGGGATAAGGAGAGAGAGAAACGTCAATGATGAGAGAGTCATTGATCGGCTGCCTCCTGCATGGCCCTCACTGGGGATCGAGCCCACAACCCAGGCATGTGCCCTGACCAGGAATCGAATCTCAATGTCCTGGATCTTAGGTCGATGCTGAACCACTGAGCCACACTGGCTGTGCTATAAAAATTCTTAAGTAGAATTTGAGGGTTTATTTGCTAATCTTAGTTGTAGACCAATGGACGAAGGTAATGAGATGTTGAATTATGTAAGTGGGGTGGGGCAGAGGTGGCCATTTCCTGAATGCCTTGAAGGGATTATTGGAGACACTGTGTTTTGGAACTATATGTCTGTATTTATTGGATTAGAGTGCCTCTCCATTGTTAGTTATCCTGTGCATGCAGAATCAGTGTGACAGAAGATGCATGAATATTTTCATCAGTAAAATGGCACTGACCTTTCCAGCTTGCCCTTTTGAGTAGTTCGCATGTATTCATTTATTTGCTTTTATGATGCTGGCTGAATAATTTTTATTAATGTTTTTGTAAAGATGCAGTGATCTATTTTTTATAACACTAGATTCCTAATGTCAGTCCATTGAAAGAATATCCGTTATTGAAAGAATAACATTCAAATTTGTGATTCATAGAAATGAAACATCATTTAACGATTATTAGTGTTAAATGTTTAGAAATTTATGAGATGGGCATTTAGAGTTTGAGTTGTGAATACCAAAACTGAGACTGCAGCTTTAAAGTATTTTTAGTATATGCTGTTAGTACATTTTTATTATGATTACGTAAAGCTATAAGAGTTTATGCCAACAGCTTGCATTGCCAATTGCTGATTTTTTTTCTTTTAATAATATGCTGAATGTAGATAAAGATGACTTCTCCCCAACTACTGAGGTTTGGGATGTAGACCAGGGACTAATAAGTAAACTGAAGGAACAGTACAAGAAGGAACGAAAGGGGAAGAAAGGGGTGAAGAGTAAGTGCAGATTCTATTACAATTTTTGTATTCCAGTCTTTGAAAAACAATTTTTCAATTCTGTTTTTTGTTTGTGTGCATTTTTTTTTTCATTAAGGGGGCAACTAACTTTAAAATTTGTCTGTTGTATAATTGAAATTTATTTGAATATGATTCAAGATGTATTATTGATCAAGTGAAAAATCATTTTAAACATTGGATGAGGAAAAGGGAAGATTTCCAGGAGGTTTGTTTTTTGGGGTTTTTGTTTGTTTGTTTTTTTGTAAGCTTTGAAATATTTACCAGATTGTAAGAAATAATGTCCTTGGAATTAAAAATAATAGAAATTTGTTAAAAAGGAAGAAAGTATAAGTTTGTTTATTTTTGTTACATAGGATTTGTAGCTATAGCCAGCTCATACTCAGGCTCCGTTTCTGAGTCTGGGAACCCTAACATACAGTGGTGAGGAAAGCCCTTTCCACAGGTTTTGCTTTTTTGCCTTAATCTAACAGTAAACAACAACAACAAAAAAATCCCTCCTGGGTAGTGTTTTCTTGGTAAGTCTAGTAGAGTGAAGGCCAAAGGGAGAGGGTAGTGGTGGCACTAGGATTTGTTTGGTCAGCATCTGAGTGTCTTTTGTTGCTTTGGTGTATTTTTCAATGTGTTTCCTGACTAATATACTGTAAAAGTATAAATTTGGCTATAAGCACCTCTAAAAGAAGTAATTCATTTTTATTTTGTGAATCAAACTTTTAAAAGGCACATGAAAGATATAGTCAGATTTGTGACTATTAAATGGAGAAACTTGAAACTTATTTTTGGGATACTTTATTTTGAACTAGCCATTGACTCCTGCTAGTCTAATTTTTTGTTGTTAATCCTTACTTAAGGATATTTTTCCATTGATTTTTTTCTTTTTTTCTTCAGAGAATGGAAGGGAAGTTGGGAGAGACAGTGATAGGAGAGAGACACATTGATTGATTGCTTCCTGCACATGTCCTGACTGGGGCTGGGGAATTGAACCTGCACCCCAGGTGTGTGCCCTTGACTGGGAATCAAACCTGAGACCCTTTGGTCCATGGGCTCTAACCACTGAGAATGCTGGCAGGGCTAGTCTAACTTTTTTAACTATCAAGATGAAAACAGTGGATAACAAAGGCAAAAACCATATAGATAGTTTTTTATATTCCTTTCGTGACAAAAAATTAATTTATAAAATGGCAGATGTAATGGAAAATGGTGTAAGTCTCCTTCAGTAAAGCATTTTCTCAGTGGTTTAATTTATTGTGGAAGCTAATAAGTGGAGTTTTGGGGATTTGCCTGTTAGGTAACTTTAAGAAATTTGAGACTATATGGTGAACTGCTTGTTGTATTTTGAAACATTTAGTGCTGGACAGGGGCTGTGTTCAGCTCTAACATCACTTACGTATTTCATGCATGTTGAGTATAAAAGTACGAATTCTTGCATGATTAACTATTTTAATAGATGCAATGGCATTAGAATTTTAGGGTTTAAGTCTTTTTTTTAAAAAAAAAATCAAGTAGTTTATTTTAATGTTACATTACTTATTTTATGTATTATTCATAAACTGACTGACTTGCTGGAGGTGTCTTTAGAAAATGTTATATAATGTTGCTTTTAATTTAAAATATCCCCCTTTTTCCTGATAGAATATAATTAGGTCTGTGCCTTTTTGAGGTTAAGAAATAAGATATTCCTCAGCTTCAGGTCTTTATTAGCTGTAGGTTTTAAAGTTTTCTAAACAATGTTTTCTATTTTAAAAACATACCTGTTTAAGAAGTACTAGAATCAGATGAACTAAACTAAGATTTAAAATCCTCACAAAATTTTAATTAGTTTTCCTTCATAGGATCATAGTATATCCTTAAAGTTTTGTTATCTGGCTGTTTAGCTAACAGCTTATAAAAAACATCATTTTATGTCAATAAATATTCCTCTGTATAGAGTTTTCCATTTTTATTTTTAAAGCAAGCTACCCTGTTGTCAAACAGAATATTGGAAAACATAGTATGTGAACGGGATAAAAGAGAACTGCTGTGATTAAATCAGAAGCTGGGGGACCCGGGAGCCATGCTTTTGAGGCACTCATGTCTCAGTATGATTTTATTATCCAGGTCTGTACTTTCTTATTGAGCCAGCCCCCTTTAATTTTGATTTGTATGTTTTTTCAAAAATTGAACTAACTTTGCTTATTATAACCATAAAGATAACACATGCTGTTATTCAGACAATGTAAGAAATACATAGAAACATAATAAGTCAAAATCACCTGATTTCTTAGAGATTAGTATTTGGCATGGTATATATCTTTCCAACTTTTCCTAAGTGTGTTTATATGTAAATCTCCTTTTTAATTTTTTCAACAAGAATATCATATTTTAACTCCTTTTCCCCTTAGTTTTATAGTCATCTTAAATAAAACATAATTTTAGTCATTACATAGTAATGCATTTTGTTGATTTAGCCTAGCCTCCATTAGTTAAATTTTTAGAATATTTCTTATACTTAATGTTTTTGTAACATCAGTGTCTTATAAATATAAAGAAGTTTCCAACAAAATGTTTCAGGAATGAATTAGGCAGTGATAAATTCTGTTTTACACTTTGTGAATTTAGACAGAGTTTTTTCCTCTTGAATACAGAGTTCAGTAAGAAAATGTTGCCTTTGAATCCCTGCCATAGAGATAAAACTGAAGGAAATTTAAGAAAAACCTTTTTTAAATTGATGGATCATAAACTTTGAATGGTATTAATCCATGTAGACAGACCATCATATTAATACTAATATACAGTTTCACATGAAAAGATAATTCATAAATTTTCTTAGCATTCTTATTTTCTGTTTATTTTGGTTTTTATGCTCATATTTTCCCAGATGTAGCTTTGTACAAGTTAGAATAATTCATAAACTGTAGCCTTTTTATTTTCTTTTTCCTTTATTCCAAAATGTGAATGATTCATACTTAATGGATCATAGCACTAGTTTCTATAGATTTTTTTTTTTTCCAACTTCTTAGAGGGAAGAAAATTATTTGCTAACTTTACTATACGGAATTGACAGATGTAATCCAATCTAAATACCCATTATTTTAGTGGAAAGAAAAAAGTGGCAAGAATGTCTATCAATTTTTTAACTTCATAAAAACTCAACCATGATTTGATTCTTTAATAGAAAGTCTTCTAAAATCAAGGCTAAGAAGCTAACATGTATCTGTCTGTCTTCTAACTGTTCATTCCACTTCACCCTTCTTTTTTCCTACCTGAGGTAAAAGAAAATGATTTAAAAGTGACAACTTTGCCTTGGATTATAGATACAATTCAGTGTTAATTTCTTGCTAAGTGAGGTATACATAAGAGCTGTACTTTATCTAGTAATACTTGTAAATGTCAAGACCATGAAACTAAAGAGACTTGATGCAGTTATTTTTATCTCAGGCTTTGTAAGGGGTAAGCTTCCTTTTCCTTTTAACTTTTTATTTTAATATAATTTTAGACTCAAGGAAAAGTTGCAGGAATAGTACAAAGAATTCTATGTACTTTTTATCCAGGTTCCCCAAATATTAACATTTTACCGTATTTGCTTTATCCTTTTTCTCTTTGTAAATGTATACAGTTATTATTTAACAGTTCAGAAAACTATGCCTTATAGACATGTTGCTCCTTAACTGTTTTAGAGTACTTTACCTGACCACAAAGAAATTCTCTTACATAACCACAGTACAACTGATGAAAATCAGGAAATTAACAGTGATACAATACTATTATCTAGCCTAAAACTCAGTTTTCCTTTTTTTTTTTAATCTTCACTTGAGGATATGTCTGTTGATTTTAGAGCGAGGAAGGGAGAGAGAGAAACATTGGTCTGTTGCTTGCTGTGTGTGCCCGGATCAGGAATCAAACCCACAGCCTGGGGATGTGCCCTGATTGGGAATTGAACCCGCAACCTTTTGGTGCATGGGACGATGCTCCAACCAAGTTACCCAGGCAGGGCCTTTCATTTTTTAATAATTTCTAAGCTTTCTATAATTGTGTAAGGGAGTGAGAAGGAAGTTCTGAATTAATTAATTTTCTTAAAATATTGATCAGATAGGATTTTTCTAGCTTTCAGTGCTCTCCATTTTTGCGGTATATCTCAAAATATGTAAATCAAAATCAGTAACAGGTAAAAATCACACAGCGATTTGAAGTAAGCATCTGAAATCTGGAATCTTTAGAATATGAAGGAGGAGTTAAAAAATCTTTTAAGACTTCCTTTGATATTTGTCCGTTTTAGTTTTCAACATGGAAATTTTAAATTGTAATATGTCTTCCATTAACAAATGCTCTTATTTTTATGGCTTACTGTTACTCCTGTGCTATTTATACCTATAAAATTGAGGCTTAATAAGAAAATCAGATTATATATTTCATTTCCTTCAAAAGACTTAGACGCTTTTCCCATTTCAAACATTCACATTCTGAGAATATGTACTACATTTACAGTTCTGGTTTCTTAGTGATGGGCTTGTCTTCGTTTTTCTAATAATTTTAATTTATCCTAACTCTCTTGTCTTTTCCATATATAGAATATGATTTATCTGTCATTCCTCTTCTTTCCTTTACTGGTGTTACAGAATTGCTGTACATCATCTGACTTGATTATCAATACATTGGAAAAGGGAAAACTTAACTTTTTTTTTTTAATTCTCATCTGAGGATATTTTTTTCATTGCGTTTTCAGAGAGAGTGAAAGGGGGAAAGAGGGAGAAACATCAATGTGAGAGAGGTACATCGATTGGTTGCCTCCCACATGTGCCCTGACGGGGGCCAGGAATGGAGCCTACAACTGAGGTACACACCCTTGGCCGGAATCAAATCCAGTACCTTTCAGACCATGGGCTGATGCTCTAATCACTGAGCAACCAATTAGGGCAGGAAAACTTAACTTTTTAAATATTTCTTTTAATGGAAATTATAAGTGAGTATCCCTGGATCATTTTCCAGTTTTCTTTTTTAAAACT